TATTAATATCATTTTCCCCCATGCTGAACAACAATTGATACATCCGGGAACTCTGGCTTACGCAATACTCATACACTTCAGGTCAACATACACATTTTTTGGCGAAAATGGTAGGAGACAAGCACACTAACAAGCTGATTATTGAGAAATTACTTGCTTTACTTTGCTTGACCTGTGGCTTGGATATTATAATATCAGGATGTCGAATACAGTGGGAACCAGTTTTATCCTGCGTGTTTTGATTTTCTCAACTTATTTGCATGTAAGTATCACTTGAACAGATAATTAGATTACGCCACTTATGGAAAGGATAACTAGATTACGCCTTTTTTTCATCGTCAATATTTGGGGCATAAATGAGGGGCGATAAGGACACCAAGAAGGGCAATGGTTGGTAAGATACCAAAGAACACAAAACGGTACGAATTTTTCTTATCGCCCCCGAAATGAGGTCTGTAACGTAACTTTTTGTTTAAATTTTAAAACATAGACACCAATGGGGTAGCGTGGTGTATTCTGGGATACTTTTGAGGGTATTTGGAGAGTTTGTCCTGGATTCGATGCGTTATAAGACTTGCGCGCAAAATGGGCATTTAATTGTATACTGTAAAATAATATGCATTTTTCACTTCCAAAAATAAATCCCTGTCGAAATATAGCACCTCCTTCTGGAGGTTAGTACTCCTTTAAGAACAAATGTTTTCAAGTTCAGAATGTATGTTTGTCTTTTAATTCATATAAATATATCATGCATACTTCAATTATATAACCAAGAAAAAGCCAATTTTGGGCACTTAGCAACTTTGGGTCAAAGTTGAAATTGCCTTACCCCTGGTGGTAAATGCTGTTGAGGAGGGGGTAGACCAATGGGAGGCTGTGTCATAAGAGGGGGTGGGGGCCCTGCACCTGGCAACAAGGGGGGTCTGGGACCAGGTATCGTACCAACCACCCCCGTCTTCGCTGCCTCTTTCTTCATCCCGTTGGCAATGATTTCTTTTATCCTATTTACCGCTTCTGAAAAACACAAGCAAAAGAAACATTACAGGATGTCATGTAAGAGTTTCCTATATAATACAGCTGCCTTCATTGGTATAACATGACACTTGATTTCCCTCCTTCAATCCTCCTTTGCAGAAATAGTGCACCCATCCTAAACATTCCTGTGTGATATGATTATGATGTTGCCACTAACGGGGCTCAAAATACTTTTTCTGCACATCTTCTCTGGTGCACTGGAAATGACCCAGTCACAGACCTGGACCTGAAAGTTCTATACCAGATGCAACCCAACCCTATTACAGTCATAAAATATTCATATATATTAAGTCATGAAAAGCAAGATCTTTATTGAACAGACTTTACACCTGAAGTCATGTTGAAACTGGCAAATATTGTCACAAAAGGGTATACTCACTGTCCACTGCTTCTTGTATGGGTCCTTGAACACACAAATACAGAGGTCTCTCCCTGAAAGGGAAACAGAATTATATGAGTCCTTACATAATCAATCCAATATAACGGCTATTCCATTCTAGATGGTTCTAGGGGAGTAAACATCATCTGACTTTAATCACTCTGCACAATTCTGTACATTTCATCTATTGGTCGCCAAACATTTTACCTTTTCTTCTAATTTTCAAAGTCTTACTATTCCAAAGCTGTCCATGTTACATTCA